GGGGGGGGGCAGGGTTGCTTAGAGCTTCTGCTTCTGAGATCATCCCTCGTAGAAGGCACTGGATGGGTTGCCCCTTTCATCTTTGCATTTCTAGCAGTGCTGCCACCGTCCTAAGCCAGAGCTAAATCGAGGACAAGGTCATCAGTTGTGTTTTAGCAACAAGCTAAAATTGGGGGCAAAGTTGTTCAAAGGGAAACAGAGGCATAACAAAAAATGATCAATGGTTAGTTGTCCCTCCTTTCAGATCACGTCTGCAGCTCTCAGTAAGAGAAGTGAACTTTTGTGGGATATGAGCATGGAATTAGATCCCAGCAAGGCGTGACATAAAGCACCCATCGTCCAGCTATAATCCTCCCTCCCCAGCACAACCACCCCCCCACACACCCATCTACTACTTTGTCAGTGTCTCTCTTTAATAAAACCAGAGCTCGTTCGCCTCCTCGTTAAGGCTCCTTGAAGTGCTTATAATTGCCGAGCGCAGAACCACTTAGGCAGCAGATCTCAAAGTTCACCATAGCGGTGAACGGAGGGAGACGAGGAGAGCAAAAAAAAAAAAAGACACTTTGGCTGCATAATGTCATCATAAATATTCTTCCACATTCTGCACAGTGCTGTATGCTAATTACGGTTAAACACACTGAAGCTCCATCACTCACTCTGTACTTTGGTTCTATCACAATTTATTCCACCCTGGTATCAAAGACACATCCTGAATTGTATTCCCAAAATGCTAACCTTATCTGTTACTGCTGCATAGAACTACAGCTCAAAATGCTATAAGGTGAGAGCAGTGTTTCTGAACCCAGTCCTCAGGGACCACCAGACAGTCCACATTTTTGATCCCATCCAGCTCCCAGCTCTGGAACAGAACAAAATTGTGGACTGTCTGGGGGTTCCTGAGGACTAGGTTCAGAAACACTGATCTAGAGTTTCCGCAAATAAACTATATATATTGGCAAAAGTATTGGAACACCTGCCTTTACACACACATGAACTTTAATGACATCCCATTCTTAATACATAGGCTTTAATATGGAGTTGGCCCACCCTTTACAGCTATAGCAGCTTCAGATCTTCTGGGAAGGCTGTCCACGAGGTTAAGGAGTGTGTTTATGGGAATTTTTGACTATTCTTCCAGGAGAGCATTTGTGAGGTCAGGCACTGATGTTGAACGAGAAGGTCTGGCTCGCAGTCTCTGCTCTAATTCATCCCAAAGGTGTTCTGTCGGGTTGAGGTCAGGGCTCTGTGCAGGCCAGTCAAGTTCCTCAACACCAGACTCGCTCTTCCATGTCCTTATGGACCTTGCTTTGTGCACTGGTGCACAGTCATGTTGGAACAGGAAGGGGCCATCCCCAAACTGTTCCCACAAAGTTGGCAGCATGAAATTGTCCAAAATGGCTTCAAATGCTGCAGCATTAAGAGTTCCTTTCACTGTAACTAAGGGGTCCAGCCCAACCCCTGAAAAACTACCCCACACCATAATCCGCCCTCCACCAAACTGTACACTTGTCACAATGTAGTCAGGCAAGTACCATTTTCCTGTCAACTGCCAAACCCAAACTCGTCCATCGGATTGCCAGACAGAGAAGCGTGATTCGTCACTCCAGAGAACATGTCTCCACTGCTCTAGAGTTCAATGGCGGCGTTCTTTACGCCACTGCATCCGACGCTTTGCATTACACTTGGTGATGTAAGGCTTGGATGCAACTGCTCAGCCATGGAAACCCATTCCATGAAATTCTCTACACATTGTTCTTGAACTAATCTGAAGGCCACACGGAGGTCTGTAGCTATTGACTCTGCAGACTGTTGGCAATCTCAGCTGGGTATCTTATCATGCATTGACCCACTCTGTAATTTTAAGTGGCCTGCCACTTTGTGACTGAGTTGCTGTTGTTCCCAGTTGCTTCCATTTTGTTATAATACCACTAACAGTTGACTGTGGAATATTTAGTAGTGAGGAAATTTCACAAATGGACTTATTGCACTGGTGGTAACCATTCTTTCGCAAATGTTTGTAGAAGCAGTCTGCATGCCTAGGTGCTTGATCTTATACACCTGTGGCTATGGTAGTAATTGAAACACCTGAATTCAATGATTTGGAGGGGTGTCCCAATACTTCTGGCAATATAATGTATATGGTCACGGTTAACCAAGTTAAGAGCCTAATCAAATTTGTGTTCCCTCAAACTTGGCAAAGAATAACTGAATATGTCGGAGAGGACCAAATGTCTAACCCTTCTTCCTGTTTTGTTTGAGACTCTTACCGACTGAGGTGATGTCCGTGAAATGCTCCTCACCCTCTTCAGCACTGATGAGGTCGTTTTTATTCTTCTTGGCCTTTGTTCTTTTCAGCACTGGGCACAGAGAGACAAATCTTAGTTGGGGTACTTCCTGACATGTGATCTGGGTGTTAGCTACTTCCTGTCACTACAGTGGTCTGCAGGCTGCAAGGCAAAGGTAGACTTTCTCCTACATGGATGCAGAATGTCACCTAGTCTAGACCTTTTGTGGAAACAGCCACACCTCCAGCTGGAACTGAATCTTACATCTGGTGGCTTAAATCATGACAAACATTATCAATAATATCAGTAATATCACTTATTTTAGTGGCGGAACTTCACTTATAACGGACATGGATGATTACTTATACACGAATGGATGATATTTCAAAAACCCAAACAGCAGCATCCATACAGAAGTCCCAGTCTAACCACTGTACTCAAGCACAAACAGGCAAGTACAGCCACACTTTTGGACAATGGGCGCAGAGATCAGTGGACAAAATTTTGCAAAATGTCTGTCATTTCAAGTCTGGTCAGCTGAGACCTCCCAGTTCCTTCCTAGCTAGACACACCCAGCTCAGTTCTCTTTTGAAACTAAGCCATCTCCATAACTACGATAAAGTCAGCACGAATGTGCAGCAAGTCACATGATTTATTCTTAGCTGCTTGTGTAACGGCTATCTTAATGAGCACAGAGGCAATTTGGCTTAATTGGATTACGATAAACTATCCAGTTTTACAGTAACTGTGACCAATGAGTGCCTGCAGATAACCAGATAATAGACCAGGAGACTAGAAGGCAGCACAGTGTGTTATGATCAGACCGTCACCGTACCCTGTGCTGACACACTGCAGCACCTCCTCCTGTAATCCTCTGGCAGCTGTTCATTGTCATTATCAGAAGCCATAATCATTTTGTGAAAATGTTATTCCGGGCTGCCCTTGCAGTGCCTCCCATGGGGCATTCGCTGGCACAGTGGTTGAGAGGCTGTAAAGAGCGGCTTTATTAAACATCAGAAAAGTGATTTAAATTGTCTCTCTAGATGCGGGACATCTGACGCTACTGCGGGTAAGCAATAAGAGAGTCAGTATTGCAGCGGGTAAGCAATGAGAGAGTCAGTACTGCAGCGGGTAAGCAAAGAGAGTCAGTACTGCAGCGGGTAAGCAATGAGAGAGTCAAGTACTGCAGCGGGTAAGCAAAGAGAGTCAGTACTGCAGCGGGTAAGCAATAAGAGTCAGTACTGCAGTGCATAAGCAATGAGACAGTCAGTACTGCAGCGGGTAAGCAATAAGAGAGTCAGTACTGCAGCGGGTAAGCAATAAGAGAGTCAGTACTGCAGCGGTCATGTGCGATCATGTGAATTGGCCACAAGAACCTAGAGTAATAACCCTTAGCAAGAAAGATATTTGTTGATAAAAATATTCAGCTTCATAAAATGAATTTAGAAACAAGGTTATTATTTTTTATTATTATTATTATTATTATTATTATTATTATTATTTTTTTTATTATTATTATTATTATTACTACTACTCTTGAATCCAATTTCCATGTTTGTTCAGTACAGTCTCATGGTGGCCTGGAGCCTGTCCCAGGAATCTCAGATGATGTGGCAGGGGACAACCTGGATGGGATGCCAGTCCATCGCAGGGCATATACTGTACATACATCATCATAAACCATTAGTATTTCAGCCATGCCAGTTTACCTAAACTGCATAATGTGGGAATCCAGGAGAATATTGGAATACTTCGATAAAACTTGTGCAAATACTTGGACAGCCTGCACACTGCAGTCCGCACAGAAGTCTAAACTGGACTGCCGGTACCTCGCATTGAATTCTGAGTAGCAAGGTTTGGTCTCGCTCAGACCAATGGAATCTCATGGGGGCCAATCATATTCACAGCTTCTAAGACAAGAGTTTGACGGGAGTCTATTCTGGCATCTCGTAGGGTTAAAAAACAAGCAGAATTTCTAAAAAAGTAAGGAACTGCTTAATTACTTAAATTATCCTCTAACGCACTAGATAAGCTGTGGTAGTGTGGTAATGCTTGCGCTCAAACTTACATCCTCCCTATTCACTCGACGCATCCCAGTTCCAGTGTTTATCGCAGGAAAAGGCGTGTGCTGCAGACAGGAAGGATATTTCCAAACAGGCTGCATGTCTTTCTGCCAGCACTGACTATGTGTTCTTCAGCACCCTCCCCCATTGGCTGTGAAATGCCACCCCCACCCCCCTATAATCCAATTAAAATGTCTGTCTAATCCCCCAATTAGCTGCATCTCCAAAGACAGGCCTTAATTATGCACCCTCATTAATCGGGGGAGGGGTTGCCTCGCTAGCAGAGAAAGGGGGCGACGTGGTACATATGTGCAAGCCAAGGTTTGACAGCTTGACGGCATGATGGACGTTTAAAAGCGACGGGGGTGTCAATGAAATTTTATAATCATCCCTCAAGTGAAGAGGGGTGACAAGGCCCCTCCCGAAAATGAAGCGTCTTGTGTTTCCTTTGGTATTTGTTTAACCAGCCCTCTCATAAGTCCATGGGTAAAATATAAACTGATTAGGTTAATGTAACAAGGGCCCAATTAGAGGAAAATGTGACAATTTAGCAGGTTATCTTGCCCCCCCCCCCCCCCCCCAGCCGAAAACCCTCATCAACGGCAGTGCAGTTTCAGCATCCAGGTCAGACACCCATCTCAATCCTCACCTGGGTTGATCTGATTCTTCTTGTACCAGGAGTCATCTACAGGAGCCTTCTCCTCTGCGTTCCTGTCTTCTTCAGCTAGGAGAACCTCCTCTGAAACCAAGAAAATCGACCTTCAGCTGAGGGGGACGAACACACACACACACACACACACACACACACACACACACACGGATACATACGTGCATCAATACCTGCATGTTAAGGCACTCTAATGAACACAGAGATAAACAAAAATTCACAGATGCATGCAGACCTACAATTCTGCATGCAAACGAACCCTAATAAGCATTCAAATACACATCAAAAATATCCTGGGGAACATTTAAAGTGGCCTAACGGGAAAAAAAAAATCATGGAACCAGGAACATTCGCTGAAGCCACATGTGCCAGTGAGCCATTCGGTACCACAAAGGAGAAATCATCCCCCCGACATGGACCCCCGGCCACGTTTATATGCGTACGGACGTGCAGTGCAGACGTCCTGCTGCAAGTCACTTTATTTAGCAGATGGCAGATAGGTGGGGGGGTGATAGGGGCGGGGCGGGAGGCAGATACATGCAAACTGCTGCCATCTGGCAGACAAGTACGAATGCTCTGGGCGAGCCACCATGAGGCGGAATACTCGCTGAACAGAACCACAGGACCCGTTTCCATAGAACTCAGTGAAATCAACAGCTGCCAGTCACCAGATGCAAGCATCACATTGGTAATGAGTGTAGAAAGTGTAAACCGAAGGGGGCGGGGTTAATGAGGAAGGGGGAGGAGCCAGCCTGACCTGCCTTACATATCCACTCCAGGTACCCGGTCAGCTCCCGCTCAATCTGCTGCTGCCTCCGCAGCTTCAGGAACTCCTGGCGCTTCTCCACGCGCTCACGCTCCTTGGCGAACTCCCTGCAGACAGCGGGGGGCAGTACTTGCACATGCACACATCACACATGCAGTTGTGCCAGGGCCTGCATGGACTGGCTAGTGTCACTCACACACAGCTGGGGTCACACTACAGTTACATGGGTATGCTTATAAAGACATGGGCACCTGCGCACGGTCATACAGGCACGAGTTCAGTTCAGGGAAGAAAGCAATCTGGATGGTCTTTATTGAAGCTGGAAGGTACTGAAATGGTACCACTGAAAAGCAAGTCATTTCTGTTCTTGGCTCAGTATTGAGTGATGTGTCACATTTGTCACACGTTGATGGGAAATACTATATTTTTAGCATAGCCATTAAGGGTGTGAGTGTGTTCCTTGAGATGGACTGGTGTGCCCCCCAGGGGCTCCCCCCTGCCTGGACCCTGCTCTGGAGAAGCCATGACGGATTACAGATGCATGGAGTGCAGAAACCTCAGCTGCTGTAGACCCTGCTGATGTATTTTTTGGACTGTTCAGTTGCTACTAATATTAATGATAATTGCTTATAGTACAGCCACAAAAGTCTCCAAAATCCTACCACAGACCTTCACTGGAACGCAATGCGATTCATGCAAATTGCTACCTTGACCAAAAAACGCTCTGAAGATTGACACGGCCACACAGCTATCTGGCGTATTCAAAAAGCCCTAACTAGCCCGCGCTAGTGGCTGGCTGACAACAAACAGCACATTTAAATTACATTTAAATTGTTTACTCATAAACAATCCTATGATTAATAATACAGTAATCAAGCTTCTGTCCGGGTCCCAAAATGCTGGACTCAGCCCTTGGGCCCAGGATCTCGGAAGGCTGGAGGACCAGTGCCGTGTCCAGGCCATGCTCGACCCCGGCCTGTCCATCTGCCTTAATGGTGGGTGGGGTTTCAGGGTCCCAAAGCAGGTGCTCAGTGGTGGGGACATGCAGGAACGAGATCCGTCATAAATGAGACATCCCTAGTGACTAATCACTCAGGCTAGGGTAATTAATCTTGCTTTTTTCTTTCCTGGCTTCTCATTGGCCGAGTCATGCGTCCGTTTTGCTTCGGCGGGCTGTAAATATTTACCTGGAACATGGGGGCCGCTGGCACACTCATGTGTGATGACACCCCACAGATGCCACTAATGATAGCGGGAAGGTTTCTGAGCAGCCAGGGATTCACTGGGGTCCCCTGGTGCTACGAGCGGCGGTGTGCCCACCCACTGCCCCCCAATTAATCTCTCTGACCTCTGAGGAGATGGAGTGTGAATGATAAGGGCATCCAGGTTGATGTCACACAGACATATTCGGGACACCGTGAGCCCATAGCTTTAAAGCTACTAAGGCATATTTGTTTCCAGTCGTTTATTGTCTTTTATTTATTAATCACCTCTGTCATGTCGCTTTCTGAAGTCTCGCTCCCATGCCCTCAGCTTTGTGCTGTCAGTCTGTCCGGATCGATTTGAAGACGTGAGGGCCCCCCCCCCCCCCGCCCCGAATCCCTCGATAATTCCAGTGTGAAGAAGTCACAGATAAACACTACAGAAAATTCAGTTAAAGGACTGATTGATTAGGGAAGACACATCCACTAGCTTTAAACGCGGTCGGCCTAACGAATCGTGACAGTGAGGCGCAACAGCAGAGGCACGCAGGACGACCCTCATCCGTGACTCAACTATAGTCATTATGTTGATGATACCACAGAAGCACGAAAGCTTCGGACTGTTATATCTGTGTTTTTGCAGTCTCATTAAAACAAGATGACCTGACACAAAGACTTGCAATGTTTGTTCTTTTTATGTTCATCAGAAACACAACACATTGGAACAGCGTTAGCCATCATTGTTCAGTGTAATGTGCTGTGTAAATCCTTCTGGCTGTACAGCTTAGTCTGGCTGGGAGTGCTTCCTTCTGTCATGTATCAGGTATTTGCTGATGAATTCTTTGTTTAGTTGTACTGCTGTAGGGTCGTCTGCGGCCTATCTGAGCAGCTATGGACATAAGGGCCCTCTAAGCAACTGAAAGTCCAATGGGAAACGAGCACAGGTACAGCCATGGCCCTAGTGCATGCTGGGAGCGCTCAGGTTTTCATCAGGAGCACAACTAACTTTGACACTGCGGTAAATTGTACTGCATGTTGGGGCTGGGGTTGAACCATTCATCTTCCCCCATGCTCAATAAAATTAAGCATTCATGGTTCCTAACAACAGGCACCAAAAAAAACTCCAAAAAACTGATCTCAAAACAGCGACAGAACAGAGCAGAATGTAGGCAAAAATATAATGTGTGTGTTCCTAACAGAGAAAGAATATTTGCCCCTTGGCTACAGAGAGATTACAAGAACCACATCCCGAATGTTGTAATTCTGTTTTGGCGGAGCTCTGCGCAATCAAATTGAGATTTAATTTTGCATCGATAGATTAGCACGCTGGGGGGGATGGGGGTGTGGAGATACAAGGTCTAGGAATTAGGAACCGGAAAATTAGGGGAGTTTGTCTGAACAGATGATGGGTATGAACCAGAGGCGATTCTATGATTTTTAAAACTGAGGTATATAAGACCATCCATAATTCATACAGTGTAGTCAGTCTCATCATTAGCCAGTGATGTGTTTTGAATCAGTGAGTGACAGGAGAAGGGCACTCCAGGGGCCAATCAGCTTTCAGCTAAGGTTAGTGACCCTGTGACCCCGCCCCTATATACACCTTCTGGTCTGGACCCTGTCAGCCCAGCAGGGGCCCAACCAGCATTGTGGTGACTGTGATGGTGCTGATAGCTCCATCGAATTCTGTGTTACCCATGTATCCAAATGAACCCGGAACTGCGTCTTACCCGGACAGGACACCAAGAACCAGGTTCAGCATGAAGAAGGACCCGATGATGATGAGCGGGATGAAGTACATCCAGTTCCACATGTTTCCTGAGGCGTCATTGGCCTGTGGACACGGAGACAGAGGTGGAATGAGGCAGAGGGACAGAAATGTAAACCCATTGCATCCCTCATTTCTGTGATATACCAGAGCAAAAGTAACTGGTCTGACAGACATTGGGTAGGAACTTGAAGGACACTTAATTCCAAAGACATTTGGAGTTCAGTTACGGTGACACGTGCTTGCTCAGGTGCTGATACTGCAGAGAAAAAAAAGATCTAACAATGTTCCCCTTCCAACAGGAATGGCTTTGTTCTTTTGTTCACTCGGGGGGTCATTAGCGCATTACAGTCAAGCGCTGACCATATAACAAAAGCTGGGAGGCATCAGGGCAATAAACAACAGAGACTTTCTTATGAAAATGACAGCAGCCCAACTACACTGAGGGAATCATTATTACATTAATGCTGCCGTATCCCTTCATCATTCATACCACTCTCTGAGGTCCAGGTCCTATAAAACACAGGCCGAACTTGGACCATGAGGCAGACAATCAGGACAATCATACAGCCTAAACGCCTACAGAACTCTGAACTGCGAAGCGATCTGAACAATGGACTAAGAACACAATTATACTCAGACCATTACTAAATCCTTCATGGATAATTCAAATGCAACTCTAACCCTTTAACCTAGGTAACCTCAGTAACCATGTCAACAATGTTAACTGGGGTGACCTGCCTAGCATACAACCTCAGCGCATATCACGTCAGAGTCCAATCAGCAACGGCACCAACTGATAGACTGCAAAACTGAAGACACACCCTTCACCCAATGGTGCCAGATCATCAGCAGTCATCATTTGCTGATCTGTCCTTCTAATCAGATTACCAGTCTCCCTACATTTACGTTTCTATAAAAATAGTGCTTGAAAGATCTGTGATCAGTGATATGTCTCTGTTAGTAATAATGGGCTTCTCTTTTTGTTCATCAGATTTTTCTGGGTGGAGCTTTTCTCCATTCCTTGTGGCAGGAATTGACTTAATTTTAGCAGAATGACAGGTTGGGTCCATCAAACCAATCTGAGCAGCACTGAACAGTCATGAATTACAATGTCTGTGCCCAGACAGCCCTGATTCATGCTAATTTAGGCTAACGATTTTAAAAACAGCACATGGGAGGTTTGACTTTACAAGAGATAAATTAAAACTGACAGTTAACCAGCTGCAGGGGGTCTTTAACAAGCATTTAGATCCTGGGGCTTGGAGCCATTTTCCTGCCTCATCGAACGTTCTGGTCGATCAGTGATCAGCTTGAACGCAAGCTGCAGCCAATCAAATGATAGCTCCCTGAGCTATGCACATTGCTCATTAAATGAAGCGTTTAAACGGGGGAGTGAGTGGGAGGCACTAAGTCCACGGATATTCACAAAAGCCAGTAGACAGGTTCTTGTGGCAAAGGGGGCAGTGTTATGATAGGGCACCATCAACATGAGGTAGTTACCATGACAACATGGGGAAATAAACACTAATAGAGATAAGAAATGTGGATTACAGGGTTCCACTATGGCAACCCAGCCTGAATACTTCTGCTGCTTCTCTGCAACAAGCGAACACACAATTTTCATCCATCTGGGGAACAGCTACCCAGCCGAGGAGGTTTGGATGACGTCTTCCCACAGGCACAACACCGTTCCGGCAGGATCGGCACTGCTGGGCTGATAATTACTCCACACGGTGCCTCATTTTGAAAAGCGGGCGGGACCCGCAGAAAGACAGCTTTAATGGACAGATGGAGGTGGCGTTAAGGAACTTTCAGGAAATATATTAAGTCTGTGAATAAATCTGCTCAGGGTTTGGATGAAAATCAGTTTTATGGCTCTACTTGTCCAGAACTGTTCTGGAATGTTAACTGTTAACGCCACACGGATCAGGTCTGTCACTATTTCAAAGGATGGATTTGACCCAACGACCTCCTGTGCGTAACGCAAGATGACATAATGCTGTTTCGCTACTTATAGTCATAACAATGACTTTTTAAACAGGGGACTCAACACATCGTCATGCATGAAAAAGTATGATACAGAAAAAAAGATCTTTTTATATGCAGACACCATAGTGTCTGGATTGAACAGGCAGATTCTCAGTCCAGATCCCAGGTACTGGTTATTCTGGTACTTCCACTCAACTAGGTAAGTGATGGCTGCCAGGTTAATAATATGCCAATACCTCCAACTTCTGAAGCTTGTAGCTAGTTTGTAATATCAATTATATGGTCTAGAATTAATTTATGAGGAGGATTGCATGAGGTGTTCTGTTATGACAGACAACTTCATAAGTTGGTGTCTCAGAGCCACTGCATTCATCAAAACACAGACAGGCAGGCAGTTCCTCTTAAAATTGTACTGTCTATGCATGATCTTGCCCAAAACACACACACAGGTTCGTATTCATAGCATGTGTGGAGACCGTCTGGGAAAAATCCTAATCCCAACAATGACAACCTTAACCCCTACCCAGCCCTAACCTTAACCATAAGTATCCAAACAAATTACATGACATTTTGCTGTTTTAGTTTTTTGACTACAGTCAGAAATCCTATTTTTAAATTGAGCTTCCCCTTGTGGGGACCAAAAAAAATAGCCCCCACATCATCAAAATGACAGGATTTTATCATATTGTGGGGATATTTGGTCCCCACAGTGTACTATTTAGATAACCTCCCACACACACACACACACACACATGCATGCACGCCATATCACCTCCGTTTTACTGAAACACATGTAGACAGGAAGGCTAAGACCTTCACAGGGCATCAACTGAAATACTTACATTGCTGAATTTAAACTGCCTCCCAAGTTCTAACTACACCATACGCTTCTCCCCCAGCTGTTATTACAGCAACCAGTGTGCAGCCTTAACTGGCTTTTCGCTCATTTGGTTTGTAACCCCCCCCCCCACCTGGGTCAGTTGCTCAGTGTGATGCCAGCAGCCAGCCACCAAGGTCACCACCAGGTGAAGAGAATCGTTAAATTTCCCAGCAGCACCCCGTCTAGTTGATGTTTGGAATGACTATCCCCCCCACTCCAAGTTAATATCCAGAAAATTAACAGAAAATTGCTTTTTCCAGCAATTTCCCGAACATTGCAGGTGCGCGGTTTTCTGTGTACTATAATGAGATCACTACACTTCTGCATGAGCCCTGACTGACTTGATAAATACTGGACACTAATGTCAGTGTTCCTTGGCAGGGAGGGGGTGGTAGGTCTGGTCCTCCAGCAGACAGAGGATAGGTTCACCGTGGTCTCCAACACTCCTTAGCAGCAGGCTCTCCGATGATCATAGGCCCCTTACTGCTGAAATGGGCCACCTCACAGAGAGACCTGTCAGCAGAAACCAGCTCTCAGCAGATATAAACTACAGGTCATGTGACCTTCCTGTGAAATACATAATGAGACCTTGAAGCCCACTGCATGCATTTAATGATCTTATATCTGTGCAGACAGTGCTGCTAACACACAACCAACGCGGTCCTGAAAAACCTCACATTCACTAAAATCCTGAACTAAACTGCACATATCCAATGGGAAAAATAGGGCTACGGCAATGTGACTCCACAACAAGCTCATGCCAAACAAATTGAATCGAATAATAAAACCAGTGATATCAATGGCCACTAATGTAATTACAGTGCTACCTCAGAACTTGAACTTAATCCGTTCAGAACTCTGGATCGAATCCTAAAAAGTTCGAGTTCTGATCGAATTTTCCCCATAAGAAATAATGGAAAACCAATTAATTGGTTCGCGACCCCAAAAAATTACACCGAAATATGTTTTCTTTAGCATTTAAACACAAAATGAAACAGATAAAACAAGAAGAGCATATACTGTACTAAACACATCTACGCACATTTATCAAAACAGTTTTAAAGTAAGAAAATAAATGTATCCAAACAATGTGTCCTGCGCCCCGATTGTCCGCTCCTTCCGTGTGCCACGCCCCCTCGTTAACCCCGTGTGGAATCCCTGTGTGATCAGCTGTTTCTAGTTGTTGTCATTAGTCCTCTGTATTTAGTCCGCATTTCAGTTTGTTTCCCAAGTCCGTTCATTGTATTGTCCGTCTGCGTTTTGCCTGCCTTACCTGTAATTAAACCCAGTATTCCCCGATACCCTGATGTCCGCACCTTTGTCTCCATTCCGTCCCCGCTCGGCATGACAATATTATTATAATTAAATGTATCAATGGTTTATTACATTTACATTTACAGCATTTGGCAGACGCCCTTAGCCAGAGCGACTTACATAAGTGCTTTAAGACTCCACAATGAATTTTTCCCGATACTAGCTCAGTAAAAACCAAGGCTATGAATACCATCGATCTAATACTCTGTTGGAAAAGTGCTTTTTTTTTTTTTTTTTTTTTTTTTTAGTAATGCAAGTATAATGCCAGAAGTGCTAATTCAGGTATTTCTGGAAAAGGTGTGTTTTAAGTCATCTTTTG